TGCATTCCCGCGCATCTCGCTTTCTTCGAATCTTCTCTCGTTCTTCCTTGGATTCTTCTTTGCAATTCTTGACTTCAAAAACCTAAACACAAAAACCAAGGGAATCAATAAGGTAGGGGCAACGGTATGAACACACAATAAAGGCAAGCATTCAAGCACATATGCGATTTCATCCAAAATACATCGAGACATGAATGCACGTATTATTTGAACAAAACAACTATAAAACAACGTAAGACAAGCTAAAATAAGGCATAAACACTACCTTAAGAGTGACATAAATGTCACTTATCAAATTTCCCCAAGCTAAACCTTTGCTCGTCCTCGAGTAAAGCTAGAACAAAAGAGAACAAGATGAAATTATTTAAAGCAAAAGAAATAAAATAAAAATAATGGGAAAGAATTTACACTAACTCACTGTCGTAGGAATCACAGTTGTTTTTAGCTACCATAAGCCCTTAAAACCCCAAAGTCGCCTTTGAGGACAAGTGAGGTCTGGTAAGGGTTTCCAAAATAGTTTAACCCATAACTCTAGCAACCAAAGCAAGGCAAGGCAAATAAAACAAATAAAAGAAAAGAAAACATATGAACTTAAATGGACAAAGAGATAAGAACAAGCACCAATGAATGTGAAACTTTCTAAATAGACAAATGTATGCATATTCCAAGATGTCAATGGTTGATTGAAACATAAAATATGCTAAGCATGGAGAACTCAAGGAGATTCAATCCACCCTCGTTCCAACCATACTTCCGCGTTCTCTTCACTAGCTTCAAATCAACCCCCAAGCTAGCTTCTCATGATTCCTCAAAGGAACCGGAAGAATAATAAGAATGAAAGGCATGAGAAGGTTATCCCGACGTCTTAGCTATGCACACTCTCTTTAAAGGCTTGAAATCTATCTCCCTTCACCGGTTTTAGACACAACCCTCTAAGGTCTATAGGTCTTTTACAATTTGTAACGTCATGGCTTAGGGTAAAGGTGGGGCAAAATTTTGAAAATTTGGTGGTATTTCCTAAGTGAAGCGAAAGAGGGGCCCTATCTTAAAAACAAACATAAGAAGTCACCAATTATCAAACAAAAATGCCAAAATACCATCTCCCTCAAGCTTATTCAACAAACACTCTAAACACAAACTAAGAACCACTCCCCCAAGCTTGAAACGGAGCATTGTCCTCAATGCTCAAGCTAAAGAAAAACGATCACAACTAAAAATAGTTTTATTACTTTTCTTTGTTTTTCATTTTTTTTTTCTTTTTTTTCCTTTTTTTTTTCTTGTTCCTTTTTTTATTTTTTTCTTTCTTTTCTTGTAGCATTTTCTAAACAACTATATACACAAGTTTCAATCTTGCCATACACTTTTGAACTTAAACCAACATGTATTCACTAGGTCGTCAAAACAAGCATCCAACCAAAATTTGCTTCACAAAACTAACGTTTAAAGTCGTAAGGCTTATAATAAGGCTAGTAACCAAGAAAGGAAATAAGCTCAAAGGGGTAGCAAGTGGGTGAATGCAAAATGAAAACAAGAAAGTAACAAAATAAAAGGAACACAAAAGAAAATGAAAAGTGTCATTTTCCTCCCCTAAAGTGGCTCGGTCATGGTCTTGGGAAGCTAAGGATCCAAAGCGCCACTCAACAAAAGTGATGAAGGCTTGAACAAAAATACCTCACACGGGATTTTTTTAACAAATACCAACTCAAAGGCTTCAAATTCACTATGAAGAGCAACACCATCTTACCACATTCAATGAACTAAGGCTTCATGGACCCTGAAGTTCTTAAACCCGGCTACCTTATCATATGGTATCCTAGAATCAACCAATGACATTCTCAAATCGTGCAAACATTTACCACTTAGGAAGGTACACATTCAAAAACACAAGTCCAAGAAGAAATGTCCAAAATAAGACCAAACAAAACACACTTTTTGCTAAACTTGCCTTGAAGTAAACAAAAATCTTTTTGGATTTTCAAAAGCTTGAAAAACATGGAAATGCATATACTCATGAGCATGGCATATATGAATCAACATTCTACCAAAGCATGATAGAATACCCTCCCCCAAGATTGAGTGAGACCAAGTTCTCAAATCATAAACAATGAAACCAAGGAGGGGAAAGAAACCAAGGAGGGGAAAACAAGGAGGTGTCCAACTAACCAACACATGATCATCAAGCCACAAAAAAATAGAGAAAGAGAAAAAGAAGGATATTACCGGATATGAGATAAATGCAAAATCATATAAAAACCCGAAATAACCTCATACAAACCACAATCTCCAAAAATATGTCTTGAAATCCACATGGTAGGAAAGTTGAGGTACATTTTCTTTGATTCTTGATCCACACCAATGCGCAAGAGTATATCGAGTTGTGTACCTAGAAAGGAACACAAACACGTCCATGAGAGAAAATCTAATCTAAAAAGAAAAAGAAAATGAAAGCAATAAAACACGGGTTACTTCACGAGAAAGGCTTGTTTAATGTCCAAGCGAGACCGCTCTAGGAAATAATAATTCAACACACGCAAGAGCTTGTCAACTGCATCACTACACATTTCATGGGGGTGTAGGTAGGCAAATGACGGGGGAGGGGCACGCAACAGGAAAAAAGCATGCACAAGAAAGTGAGGATGGAGTTGCCAAGAAGAAGAAGGATCAAAAGAAAATTCAAGAAAATAAGAAGAAGTAGAAGAGGAAGAAAAAGAAAAATAGGTAGGCAAACTCTCCTCACAAAAATCTTTATGGTTGACATTATAACTCTTTTCCTCATCAACAAACAAAGAGTTGGGCGCTTTGGAATCATGAATAGGAAGAGTAAGAGGATTCCTAAGAGGTTCTTTGAGAAAATAAGGGAGTGATATGGGATAAGGAGGAATATGGTCAAATCTTCGAGAAAAAAGGATATGAAGAAGAGGAAAAGGGGTAGCTACTCCCTCACCACAAGGTCTCACATCACCAATGAGGGCATGGAAATCAATCATGGATTCCTCAAATGAAGAATCCTCACGATCTACACCTCCCTCAAGCTTAAATACTCCAAGGGAATCAACCTCAACCTCCTCATCATAACCTTGAACAATATCTCCCATAAATTTCTCAAAGCCTACCATCTCAAAACCAAGAGTGAATGGAAGCAATTTTTCTCAAACTCATCTCTTTCCAATGAAGGCTTATCAATGAACTCACTCAAAAGGTTATGGGTTTGATTTTGAAATTCAAGAAATATTTGGGCCATAATCTCAAATGAGTCCAAATCATCATGGATAGAAGAGTCAAAAACTTGCTCATTAGAATCATCTTAGGGACTATGGGGCACACCTTTAGAATTCATGCAAAAATCGAATGAAATTTGAGAAAGAAAATGCACTTCATCATCATTAGAATGTACCTCATTACAATGAACTATAGAGGGAGGGGAGTTTAAATCATGCATTATAAGGTCATTATGGGGAACATCAAGCATATCATGGGAATTCATGCATTCATTAGATGAATTATTGCAATTAGCATCAACATTAAAAGCATGAGAATCCCGAACATAAGTCTCATCATTGGCCCTCTCCTAATCATAATTATCCCTAGCTAGCCACGAATAGAAATCCCAAGCTTCATCCGAGGACATAGCTTGAAATCCACCATTCAATATATTTTCAACCACTCCTCTAAAATGCTCATTTAATCCCAAATCAATGATCTCACAAACATCACCCTTGGTAAAACCATGGAAATTGTCTAGGAAACCCTCAAGTCTATTGAAATATACCTAAAACGATTCATTGTTGAATTGAGGAATAGAGATATAAGCCATATTTTTTTTTCAAAAAAAAACAACACAAAGAAAAACAAACAAATAAACTGAAAATTATACACAAAGGCCTTAACTCTATAAGGTAATGACACGAAAATGGAAACCATTCCCCGGCAACGACGCCATTTTGACAAAGGATATTTTAGGTCGTTAGATTTTAAAACACCTTTAGTCAAACAAAAATTTATAAAATCTAATCCTAACACCACCAAACACAAGTCTAATGGCAAGTCAAGGGTCGATCCACAGAGAACGGCTAATCACTACCAACATTACCTACAACTAAGCTAGGCCAACAAGAGGTAAGAAATGATAACTAACACTACAAGACTAGACTAGACTAAGACAAAGGCTAAAACAGTAAGGAAACGGTTAGGCATAGCATTCACTCAAGCATAAACAAAGCATGAAATTGAATCTAAATGCGATCTAAGCAACTCATGTCAATGATTTAAAGCATAATCTAACCACATGTCGGGGTTAATTGTTTTACCAACTCATCTCCTAGCTTACACTATCGTCATAAGCCATGTGAATCGGGGTATAATTCAAGCCAATCATTTAATGGACATTCCTAGATCACGCTATTGCCATAACTTAGTTGAATCCACCCAAGTACAACAATTGATAGGCCTCTCAAATGCAATAATTGGTAGACATGGAAAACAAAGCATTTTAATCACAAAAAAAAATCAATTCTAAACCCTAAGACATGCTCAAGATCCAACTACACTAAAACCATCCCCTTAGTTGGGGAACTACTCACTAGTCATGCTAATAACAAGATTAATAAGCAAATTAACAAGCAGCAACATGATTAACAAGCAATCAAGCAATAAAGAAAGAGAAAAGAAGGTAAGAATTGCTTATTGATTGATGTTTAAAGCTTCCAATACAATTGTCACTCTTGAATTTTCGTCATCTTCAATCCCTTATTGAATAATCCTCACTTTCTCTCTCTAAACTACTCTAATCCTAAGCTAAACCTAGAGATAAAAGCTCTCCTAAAACTAGAGAAAATGATCTAAAGAATGAAAAATCAAGAGTAGAAGTCCTAACACATAAAGCAAGCCTCGCTTACATATAGAGCCGCGGAAATAAGTCGAATAAGGATCCTGGCGCGCCTACGCACAGGGGCTTGCGCGCCCGCGCACTGTGTTGCGTGCCCGAGCAAATGGCTGGTGCACGCCACGTTTTTGTGGGTATGCACAACTTATGCTGCTGGGTTGCGCGCCCGGGTACAGGCAGCGCAACCCCCCGTGCAAAGGTTCTGCCTACGCTTCTGAAATTTTCCTCCAGTGCGCGGGCGCGTACAAGGTTTGCGCGTCCGCGCACCTCGCTTTCTTCGAATCTTCTATCGTGCTTCCTTCGATTCTTCTATGCAATTCTTGACTTCAAAAACCTAAACACAAACACCAAGGAAAGCAATAAGGAAGTGGCAACGGTATGAACACACAATAAAGGAAAGCATTCATGCACATACGCGATTTCATCCAAAATACATCGAGACATGAATGCACGTATTATTTGAACAAAACAACTATAAAAGAATCTAAGACAAGCTAAAACAAGGCATAAACACTACCCTAAGAGTGACATAAATTTTACTCATCACATACTTTTTAATGCGATGATGATTATGATAATGAGTGATTCTAAGATGACAGTGCGTGCTTCAGAGTTGTATCAAGATTTCATGACAAAGGGATCCTAAGGGAAGGATTATTTGGCTATGTATTTGTGACGTGTGAGAGTTACACTAAGGTTAGGTTGCCAAGGCTAAGGGTGTGGAAATTTTTTTTGAGAAGAGCCAAATGATGGTGACTCTTAGGCTATGTAGGCTAATGAAGTAGGGATCAAGCCCCCAAGTCTAACTCTAAATGGATAGGGATGAGCATTGGAAATCCATTGATATGATCATGAATGATGAATTTGAAAAATGAATGCATTTTCATTACGACCGCACTCCAATGTAAGGTTGCCTACGTATGCATTAGGACTCAGGCCGAACGTAGCTCTAGCCGAACCTCGACAAGTGTGTGTACTACTCAAGGAGGTCTTTCAAGGGTTGTAACAGGGTTAGGCTAAAGGTTGAAGAAGAAGGGATAAAGGCTCAAGACCCAAAATAAGCCCCCAAGGTGTGCAACCTTTCATTTGAATCTTGGTATTTATACGCTTGAGGTTTCTCACTTTTTGAACTTGTTTTTTTTGTTTTCTCATTTGAGATTTGCTTATGAATCTTCTTTGGATAAATGTGGGAAATCCTGATCATGCAGTCTATCACTCACTTGGCATTCATGTTTCTCGGGCACGGTACCGAGCACTCAATAAGAGATGCAATCCAAGACATGTTCGTATCAAAGACATTGGAACACTTGCCCTTTTGCACACTTTTATTGCTTTTTAAACTTTTGAAATTTTGAGACTTTGGTAAAAATCACTCAAGCTTTTGCTTTGGAAATTGCATAAGTTGCACACTATCCCATCCCAAAGTTAGGTAGATGTAGGTAAAAAAAAAAGAAGGCAAATCGTTAGACGAGGCTCAAAGTGGTTTATCAAAAGAGATTGTATATTTGAAAGGGGTAAAGGTGATATGATGTGGCTATAAGAGGTGCCTCAAATCATTGGTATACCTTGTATTTAGCTCAGCATGGATTTTTTTTTTTTTTGTTTTTTTAATGCAATGCAATGATCATATGCAAGGAAATAAATGCTCATTTTATTGAAATGAAAAGGGTAAAACAAACTCATGATGTAAATCTAAGGAATAATGGAGGGTGCCTATGATAGACTTATAGGGATGGGGTAAACACGAATAAAAAAAGAATCATGAAATCTTGTCATAGAAGCCTGCCTCGTGCTTTGTGCTTATCATCACTTGGCCTTCTTGTTGCTTGGAGGAACATGAAAACCATGGACACTTCTTGTCAATCACATCACTCGAACTCGATTCAACATGCATAGATAAGGAAATTCCCGAAAGGGAATAGTGTACGAGGGAAAACAATATGTATGGGGAAAGCATGTAAGAGGAGAGTATGCAGTGAGGTATGTGTGTATAAGGAAAGTGTGCGAATGTGGAAGGTATTTAAGAAGGAAAGTGTGTAATGTGTGGAAAGTGCGTAAAGCGTGTAATTTGTGGAAAGATATGGAAAAAAAATCCAGGAATAGGATAGACCCTCAACTCGAATGACGGAAAGGACAACTCATGCATGGACATATGACATGGTGATCATGGTGTGAAGAAAGTATGTACAAAGCGTGTGAAGACTCGTGGGTGGAAGTGATATTTACAAGACTCGTGTCATGACCATGTGACTTGACATGTGGTTAGACTCATACAAGACCAGGGAAAGACCATGTACAGACATTAAACTGAATAATCGTGATAGTGAGACTCGAGGCAAAGACTCGGAAAGAAACGACTAAACCGTCGCATTGCGACGCGTCAAGCCTGACATGTCACGATGGTTACAATCGTCTCGCGTCACTAGTTTAAAGTGGTGCACCATAAATGGAACATCACAATGACTTGTTTTTCAGTCGTTCTTTTGAAGGTTTTAGCCTAAAAGTCGTCTAGGTCGAGTATATTCATACTTTATGGGTTCATTTTAATTAACCAAATTAATTAAGAAAGGTCCTCTTAGCTTTAGGTTAGTATGTATAGACATATATACAAGAAAAAAGTCAAGACAAAGGGTTAGTTTAATCACAACCAAGATATTCACAAGTAGTCAAGTAGTCACAACATGATGCAATGAGTTTGCCACCTAACCATGGCTCTAGTTCTCTAAGGTCAAGGATTATGGTGTCCAACAGTGTTCATGGTTAAGAGTCCGGATGCATCGTGCGGAAGCCTTAGTTTAGAAGGGTTGGCACGATGGACAGGACCCCGCGAGTTAAACTCAACTCCATGATTTGGTGAATTCACAAACTTGGATGCGCCCATTATTGAACGAAGCGTTTTTAAGGTGGACGGAGCATGAATTCCCAAGGGCTAAAACCACATGTAAAACACATATGTGTTTGGAAAGATCGAAAAACTTAATTAGGAAGTAAAATCGTCAAGACAGTGCTAGAAACAGGCAAAACGCAAAGACAGAAAGCTGCCGCAAAATCTCTAGTCTCTGACGCTAGAAGGCAGGAACCAACGTCCAATGAAAGCTCTGTCCCGGTGTGACAAGGTTGTCTTCTGGCGTTGGTTTCTAATGCCATGCGATAGTTTTGGCGCTCTACGACAGTTTCAATCTTCGATATTTTTTCCAACTTTTCGCAGCGTCCTTCCGATTTTAGTTGTGAAAAATATTTCCAGCCTTTCCTACGTGTATGTTATGTTTTTGACGCATTCCGGATGGTCTTTCTAATGCGTACCTTTTTATGCTTATGTCACAATGTTAATCATATTACACACATGAATACCAAGAATCTTTCAAGTCTCATCCACTCATTCTAATCAATTGCTAAACAAATTGGGAATTAGTTTAGAAATCCTTCCCAGCGGAGTCGCCAAAAATGGTAGGGAATTTTTTACTCCGCCCTACACGTGGTTCATGCTTTTAGGCATGGCAGCGCTCTAAGGAAAACAAGCTAGAGAAAAAGAGTCGCCAACAAGTTTAAGGAACTTGTAAACCGTTCACGGGTGTGAAGGTTACACCCCATTCACAATCACGAAGATTGATAACTCCATAGTGGTCCAAAATCATGACTGGATGTTCGAGGATGATGGTACGAATTTGACCTAAGTGAAACCAAACCCTCCCTAAATAGGCCTATACTCAATTCTTATAATATTCATGCGCGCTTTTCGATCAACATACATACTTCAAATTAATCCTAAACATGTTTAATCTACATTGGTTGATTATTAATGTACAATCAAATCTAATATTGGTGATCACTTGAATTAAAATCAAATTAGTCTAAATCAAATTATTAATTATCTTATTAGGCGTGATTTCAAGTACCGCTAGGCGAAAAATACGAATGGGCACCGGTTCATAACCCCCATTTCGCACCGGTTTTGAACCGGTCCTTATTTGAGGGATGCCAAAAACCAAAAGATTTCGCATCGGTTCAAAACCGGTGCGAAAACTTAAATTTTGCACCGGTTCTTGCTGTGAACCAGTGCGATAAATGGCTCAAAAAAATAAAAACTTTAGCACCGGTTCTTGCTGTGAACTGGTGCGAAAAATGGCCCAAAAAAATAAAAATAAAAACTTTTAGCACCGGTTCTTTTTCAAAACCAATGCTAGAAATGCCCCAAAATAAAAATAAAAAAAAATTTGCATTTTTTTCATTTAAATTGATATAGAAACACTAACATATATATAAAGTTACATATTTTTATTAAAAAAAGGCTGTAATATTAAAATTTTCGTGCAAAAAAATAAAATACAAGGTCCTTCTGTAGCTGTTACCTTGCTGGTTCTGTTGGTGGCTACTGCTGTTGTTGGTCATTTTTGTTGTTTTGTTGTGCTTGATGTTCGTTCTTGGCTTCTCTGAAGAATAGCAATGGCTGCTAGGAACAAGCCAACAGTATTACTAAAACTGTTATATGAGCATGTATTTTGATATACTTAATTTACTAAAATTGTATAAAACATTATAGATATGCAGTTAACCAGAATGGGAAGGACAAAGATTATAAATGCTTGAAAATTCGTCAATTCATATTAATGGGAGGGAGAGGGGAGGAGGAAGTGCTGGTAAAACAAACCTGAAAGCTACAGTGAAAAAGAGGGAAACTGCTCAAACATAAGCTTATGCAAAAACAAAGGGTCTATCATTATCCTATTGCTGCATATCGAGGATTTAACGTCATATATTATGCTCAGTTCATTCCATTAACACTCATTGTATGAAAGACATGTCAGTAAATTGTATAGTATGGTCATGTAATCAGTATTAAGAATTCAAGTGATTTAATGACAGCATTGATCTGCTATTACGGCACTAGATGAGTAGAAGCCAAGCTTATGATTGCAAATACACCAATTAAAGATGTTAACAACATTTCTACAATGTGCACTATTCACATACAATTACACAAGAACATACTTCCTCCGTTCTTTTTTTATTGCATCTTGAGGTTACTCATAAATTCAATAACAGGTTATGCTCACAAGGCATTATAATTAGAATTGATATATGTTCCTTATGTCTCCTATCAACGGTTCATATATCATAAATCACAAAGCCAACAAAAACAGGGGAGACCTATAACATATATTCATATGCAAAGAGGGTATCATCCAGCAGGCATAATTGATCTAGATTAAGAGCTTCAATAAATCAAGAAATGGCTTCATATAAATCAATTTCATAATTACAGAAGATGTGACAACTTATCTGAATGCACGCCAAGCAACATGTGAAAACCGAAGCATATAAAGGGCATTACAATATTTTCAAAAGCTACACCTCAAAGATCAAAGGCTCATTTGCATAGGACAGAAGGCTACGTCGAGGGCCAAACTGCAATGAACAACCATGAGTTACATGTCTAGAAACATATTAGTATGGAGGAGAAAAGGAGAAATGGATAACGTGTCTACTCCATCTAAGAGAAATAACCTCCTCTAGGATGGGTTTCGAACTTTCATTTACATATCCTGTTGATGGCGAAATCAAGGCTCTTCTCTTCCCTAAAAGTATTCAATGAAGCATATACTCCAGTTAGTTGATCAAGAAAGAGAAGCCAAAAGTAAAAAGTTAAGGATTTCCATCAAAAAAAAGTTAAGGATTTCCATCAAAAAAAAGTTAAGGATATATAACGTGCAACAAGATCAAACCACATCAGATGCAATAAAGAAAAATCAAAGGGGGAAAGTCCGTAGTATTACATTAAGAAATAAAAACTAGCAGGCCCATAGATAAGGGTTACAGCTTAACAACAAATAGATAGCAAACATCTACAGATTCAATAGTGAATTTACGTACCACACTATTAAAACAAATGATAATCCACATGCAACAGTAAAATTATGTTACAGAAATTTTATAGTGGCACCAAAAATCTTGGAATTTCACTTGGGAGTCCCTAATTATTCCTTTGAACTAGGAATTTTTGGGAGGTTCAAGACCCTTATAAACTACCAAAAGATTGACCTGCAAATTCTCAATCTAGAATAAAGTGCTACTCCGTATATATATACTATTTGAGTAGAATTTGACATGGATTTCAAGAATCCTCAAAAGTTCAACTCATATCATATTATTTTCTGCCACTATAAACCATAACCAATCACTGTTACTATCTGGGATACTCTTATGAGACTCAAGAGGATGATTCCAGTCACTATAGAAGCACAACAAAGGTAACTATGGTCTCTGATGGAGCTTGTTATTCACTTTCTTTTATTAGGCTTTTAGAAACATGTGGCCTAGCTGCTAATCAGGCCTATGAGATTGACCTTAAGTGATAAACCTGCTTTTTATTCCTTGAATTACAGTAGGCTCACATAGCAATTTCCATTTCTTGGCAAGGAGCAAGAGATCAGAACTGAAGAGATGCAAAAATCTAGGAGGATGAAATAAGAAAAGAGATGTGGAAACCCAGGCATTAAACTAAGGTAGGTAGCCAACATCTTTTAAGCAGATATAATAGATTGATTAACTTTCCAGAAGAACAGCAGAGGTTTATACAGCAAAACACCAAAAGCTTAAGATTAGTCCCATACTAAATCATTTGCAATTTCAAGATTCAACCTAGAATATACACATAGATGTTTCACATATGCTTAATAATCAACCTTTCAGATTTCTCTTATTATATAAGGAGCATATCACTACCAAGATTTAGATCAGATTAAAGCAATATCTCAATCTGTCACATGCAAGTCAAAAGCCGCATTTTTCGATTTTTCCCCTTTAGACAAGAAAGAGTTAATCGTTTCAATAAGAGAAAAGAGGAGTGAAACTGATTCGGGATTCCAGACTATACTGTAGAGAAACACTTTTTGGAAAATCCATATCACCTTCAGAAATTCAAATACATGCATCAAAATAAACATCCAAGTGAATATAATCAGCTTAGGAAGGGGACTCAAAATATTTCAATAGTTTGACACATTAATAAATAGTACCACGTGTGGCTGTTTTGGTATTGCTTAAGGCACAAGCAATAATACAAAAGTCCAATAGCAAACAGGTAACATATCTTCCTCAAACAATACAGATATTCACCCAATATGTCATTCAGAATTTACCTCTAACTTTCATGCCAGTTATGATCTGTTTACAATACATGATATTAGTTACTTACACATCTCACATTTAATACGTCCTTCAAGCCTTTTATGATCTGTTTACAACACATTATATTAGTTACTTACACATCTCACATTTATAAATATTTTCCAAAAGGAATCACATTATGGATGCACAAATGCTCAAGCTACCCAAGATGATAGTATAATACGTCCTTGAGCATCAAGAAGCACCATACTGTACCATGAACCCTATACCTCTCAAGTGATGGGTGTCATCTAACATCATAAACACAAAATAAACTAAGACAAATGAAATCAGATCAATCACAGCTCATAAACTGCCTTACCAAGGCTCATCTTGATTTTCGCCTCAATGCTGCAGTTGTGCATATCAATAAGAGCTATTGGCACATGTTGTTGCATTCCTCACTGTCAAATGTTACAAAATAGTATCAAATCAAATATTTATCTCATCAATACTGGAAGTTACCAACACAACTAAAACAGCATTCAATTCGATTCAGCTAGCTATAAGCATAATATTACCAATAAATTCCATCGATTACTCTTTCATTTCAGCCGTAACAACAGATTTTAGCACATTCAAACCAAGAATAACATCAACAAAATTTGAGTAGGCAAAAATTAAAATTCAAACAGATGCAAAACACATTCTAATTCACACAAAATTAACACCATATATATTCCTCATTGCCAATTATAATCATTAACTTTTCAATAGTTACCAACTTACCACCAAATATTATCAGTCATAGCTAAATAAACACCACTAAACATTCAACAATCGCTCATTCAGCTTAGAAGCAACAACAAATTCACCATTCTTAAAGCAGGAAGAAAATCAAACAGGTTTAAGCAAGCAAAATACAAATCTACATAATAAAACATGAGGAATACTCTGGTTATAATCACAAACCAAAAATTAGCAACTAAAAATCTGAAGTCTACAACAAAATCAAACAGCGATGTATTGAATACACAAGTCTAAAACCTGAAAAAAAAAATTAGGGTTAAACAACACTAATAACAGAAAAACATGAATCAAATATCAAAAAAAAAGTAAAACCTAGGTTTAGATATAGGGAGAAAATTACCAGCGAGAGAAAGCGTTGCCATCCTTAGCACAATTAAGAGAAGAGTAGCAGAAGGCGAAGACTCAACATCTGGAGACTCAGCTTCAACTCTCTTCCTCTGCTTGGGCGGGTTGCTGCTTGTTGATCTACCTATAGCCATTTCTGCTGCTCAAGCTAACTTCTTCTTCTTCTACAGAGAGAAACAGAGAAAGTTCTAGAGAGAGTAAAAGATGCTGAGATCTGAGAAAATGAAGAGATGATGTTGAGGAGAGAGAGATAAAACGAGAGACTGAGGAAACAGAAAGAAAGAAGAGGGAAAGAGAAAGAAGGAAAAGGAGATCAAAGGACAGAGCAGGAGTTTGAGGCTCCATTGTTGTAGATGAGAGAGACTGAAAGAGGTAGATGCGAGAGGAGATATCGAGGAAAGAAGATATAAAAAAGACCGATTTTTTTTTTCATAGAATTCGCACCGGTTCAAACCGAACCAGTGCAAGTAACTCATTTTTCGCACCAGTTTGGTTCAAACCGGTGCGAAAACTCTTTCCCTCAACCCCCCTATTTTTTTCGCACTGATTTTTAAAAACCGACGCGCATTGTACGGTGCTCATTTAAGTTTTTCTACTAGTGTACAAATTCCCTTTAAACCTACAAAAAAGAGGCGTGATCAAACAATAGCAACAAATCATGAATAATCAAGCAACATACGATCAATACAATAATCATCATCATATGAACATCATCAAAGCATCGTTAGTAGTAAGATCCTAGGCATGATACTAAACGGATTAATAAAAAATCCTAGCACTTCACTAATAAAAAAAATCAAAGCGTTATCCTAAACATGATACTAGCAGTCAAAATCAACATCCTTAACATGATACTAGAAATCAAAATAACATCCTAAGCATGATTTCAACTCCAAAATCAAAAGAATAATTAAGTAATTGAAATACTTACTTCGATGCCTCAACCTTCTTGCTATTAAAACAATACACACGTTAGTAAACTTCAAGAAAGTTAAATCAATAAAGAAAATAAATCACATATGAATTGAAATATAGATTTGGGACCAAACCCTCATAACTATCAACCTTTTATGTCGAGGTCGAAGGCAACGTCGAGTATGAATCTTGCGAAGGAAGTAATATGACTGATTTGGGAGAGTATCAAGGATGTGTTTAGGCTAAGGCTAAGAACATTAGAATTAAGAATTCCAAGGATTATGATGGCTATTGATGATTGTTTCAGCGTTTTTCATGTGTCCTGCAGGAGAGTTACGTCACCAAGATTGGATTCCCTTCGCTTGTACCTGCAAACAAATGGAAGATCCGGTTGTGCAGAGTTCCGCCAGCAACGATCTTCTCGGGTTCCGAGATCAAGTGCTTTCTCTGATGTGGGAGAATTGATTGTGTGTAAAAAATTAACGTGTCCCAAATTAGTGTAAATCACCCTATTTATAAGGTCATGGGAATCAGTTTCCCCCTTTTTTTGGGTCATCCACCTAGGTAAATGGGATGCGCCGTTTTTACGGCGTTACCGGGATTTAGGCCTTTGAAAGCCGCCATTTTCCTTGATGATTGGGAGTGCCATGTGTCAACTAATGAGTGGTCCTTTTTGGACCTCTCCTGGGGTGACACGTGTCCCCTTATGATTGGGCCACGTGGCCTTGGTATTTTTACCCAAATCATTTGCCCCTCACAGAGGTGAAGTGGCGTGCCACGTGGTGCCTGTGACACTTGTCTGAGCAACAATGGTGAACGGTTTTTTAACTGTTCACCTTCTAGGGAAATTACGAGGATGCCCCTGAATTTACCCCTCTATAAATAGGGTTTTACCCCTCCCTCGTTTTTGTCATTTTCACAAAGCTAGATAGAGAAAGTCGGGATTCTAGAGAGATAAACACTAATAACCGCCTATGCTTCCTTTTGAGAATATTTCTTACTTTCCTCGTTTGTTACAGCTGGTCGGCGCTTGACACCTCATCACCTCAGAAAGATATATTTGAGGTAACCGTCTCTCTCTCTCTTTCATCCTTTTACTGTTTGTGCATATTGTTTTGAAATAAATGGATTCACCATCAACACACACGACATGGCCTAGGACAGTAGTCAGCCGGTCTCCTGGTACGGCTGAGTCTAGGACTTGGGGTGCCACCTCTAGGTGTATGGAGCACCCTTGTACTTCACCAACTCCAACCATCTCTGCGTCTGTGCAGGACATTATGGCTCGGACAAAGCAGACGACACTTAATCCGGATTATGAAGAGGAAGGCACAGTAGAAGTGTCATCTGACGAAGTTATACCGGTTGAAGAAGAAGTGAATTCTCCACCGGGTGCCCCTAGAACTCTAAGTGATACTATCTTAGAAGAGTTTGAGCCTGGAGACGGTGAAAAGGCCAGCTCTAGGCCTAGCTCTAAGGAGAGAAATAATGGAGAGTTCGCCTCTATGTCGAACTCTGAAGAGGGCAGCAGCAACTCCTTAGAGCCAGTGGTGGATAGAGAGGAGGAGGAGCGCCGCCTCTAGAGTAATAAGACGGACCCGTTTCAAATTCATGTTTCAACTAGGGATAGGGAAAACATGCCGGCGGGCCTTGAAAATTTCAAGAAGAAACGTCCCCTTGGGGGGAACTATGCTATCCGGGTGCCGCCTAAATTAGGCACCATACCGTGGGAAGATGACCAACGAAACGCTAATGACTACTTTAGTTGTTATGAGGCGGCATTCTTAGCCAGCCTCCGCTTCCCTCTCCATGACGCAATAAAGGCCATTCTTCGAGGATATGGCTTTGGCGTGTGGCAGTTGTCACCAAACTCCTGGGTCAACATTCTGGGCTATGTTGCTGCCTGCGAGATGCAGACCTCCATCCAGGCTGGGAGGCTTTTTCCAAGATGCACTATTTGAGCCGTAACCCAGGCGGCTGGCGGGCGTGGTACACACTGACCACTTACCCCGAACCTTATGACCTTAGACAAACCGTCTAAGTGGTCTAACTGGAGGAACGAGTTCTATCTTGTTTCCTCCCCCCAACGGCGAAAAATCATGAGTATCGTCGTCACAATATGAAGTCGGAGCTGTTGGGCAAGAAGTGTGCTATGCCCCACATCCCGGACGACGATTGGGCCAAAATAATAGAGCCGGATTTCTTTGGGGTAATTACCATGCCCCTATTAACCGATAAACAAATCATTGTGCCTAAAAATTGGGTACCAAAGCATGAGTGGCTGAGGGATGAGTGCTTCTTGTCCGCATGTGGTCTCACTACCATGTTTGACAAACGTATGTCAAATAACCATCCGGCATTTTAATGCCGCCTTTATTGCTTCTACACTCTGCTTATAGTTTTCTTGTTAGATTCATGCTTCCAGAATACAAGACACCTGCCCACTCAGCTGCCCAGATAAGGAAGGACAATGCTAAGAAAAACGGGCCCAACAAGCGGCCTCCCTGAAGGATCAGGTATATTCCGTCAGCCACCATGGTACGGATGACCCCTTTAATACTCCCTTTAATCTTCCTTGTCCCATGCGGGTCAAGTCACGCTCTCAATAGCAGTCAGAAGGTTCTTCAGGCAGTCGGTAGCCTATCGGTGGTGCCTATGTTGCTTACTCACCAAATCTACCTTATGTTGCAGATCTATCCCCCCGATGGCCGGATGTACTGCAGTTCTCCAAGACCATGCTGAGGTTTATATCCAAGGAGGACAAGGAGGCCATCCCTAGGGTGAATACATTCAATGTTGAACGCATCCTGTCCTTGCTGTCTGAGGTATCTCAACTTAACTCAAACCCTTAGATATTCTACTTAGTAAAATACCGATTGAGTGTCTCACATGCCGTTTGTATAATATGGGTCATGCTGAGAGTTCACGGGTTAAGAAGCTATATGCCCGCAAATAGGAAGAGGTAAGGGCTTCCAAAGTCCGGGCGCCTGAGTCTGCTGATGTCACCCAATATCAATGTACAATAAATGATCTTGAAACTAAGGCTGAGTTGCTGATGCAGGTAGAGTCTATCAGGCAGCTGACGTCTACACTGAATGAGGCGAACAAGAAATCCTCCGATTTTGAGACGGCACTCAAAAATTCCCAGTTAGACCTCAAAACCTTGGAAGGTGCTGACAAGGAGACTCGCCGGGCATACATTGACCGTCTGAAGAATGAGCTGGCTTAGATAAGGACCAGTCATCAAGCGGCTTTGGAGGCTGAGCAGAACCGCCTCATAGAGGAGAATGAACAAGACTGCGAAGATCGCATGAAGATAGCATGGGACCTCCTTCATCTGGGAATCAAATGGGGTGTCTTTCCTTGAGATACCAATATGCAGATCTTGTTCTTACTGCTAGGGCGGAGGGAAATCCGGAGCATGAGCCGTTTGATGTATGGACGCACAAAGAAGACTCAGCAGAAGACGAGGAGCCGGAGAAGGGCGAGGAAGAGGTAGAGAAAGAGCAGCAGGCGGAAGATGCACAGGTGAACTCTACTCTGCCTCCGCCTAGGAAGGACTCGTCGGTGGTTCCGCCTTAGAATTAAGCTTTCAGGACTTTTATTTTGATCTTGGGTCGTCTGCCTTTCCAGCCTGCGCTCCGAGTATGTTGTTGTAACTTTATCAACAATATTATTTGCCCGGACGTAGATCCGGTATGACAATATCTCTCCTGGCCTTAGGGTCGAGTTTTATTAATGAAATGGTCGACTAAGTCGATTTTGTGTCAATTTTTCAATTTTGCTATTCTTTGGTTTTTGCAATATATGCTTTGATTTCTGCCTAACATGTTAATCGCATACGGCAACTAACAAACCGGTTGGCTTCTTGCCCCTGGGCGGCTGTGTGGTTGGTTTCAAAAAGTAGATTCATTGACTTAGAAACTCTTGATACTTTAAAGAGTATGACGACTTCCTTGATTGCCCAAAGCCAAGTACACAACCGTCCAGGTTCAGGCGTTATGATCTTAGATACCTAGACGGTTTCAGTATTACTGTCCATTGGTAAAAGAATACTTTGTGATCATTTGTCAAGCTTAATTAGATTGTCTATGAAAATAATGCACTTCAAGCGTCCTTTTGCTCCATAAAGAGGACTATTAATTAGTACAATTATTGTAAAAAATTTAATTTAAGTTGAAATGACGGCCGGATACCGGCTGTTGTCGATAAGACATGCGGTTTATTATGCCATTTAGGTTCCATTTTATATTCTACAGGTCAAACGGCTATGAACTAATCCTTATTAAGGTAGTCAATCGATCAATTTATGTTTGAGTTTATAGAGCAATGTACCACC